CGCACGTTCCTGGCTGCCGTCGATTCTCAGGGGTTCCCTATGCGTCACCCTCTCTGCTCAGGGAAGTCTCACCCTAGGGAGTCAAACGAAACCAAACGTTCACGTAACTAAATTGATGCTTTTAGCTGTTTTCCTTAATACCTTTAAGTGGGATTCCATTATAGACTCGTAAAATAAGATGCAATTGTTTTTTAAATTAAATTTATTGGGGTAACATTGGTTAACGAGATTATATGAATTTCAGGTATACAGCGTTTTGATACACCTGTGTGCTCACCCCAGGTGGTGATGCGGCTTGTGAAGAAGTCACTGATAGGCCCAAGATAAATGTGGACTTTTCTGAGTCCTTCCAGGTCCCTGGTGCCCTGCCACCCCTGTGAACCCGACGGTGTGTAGCGCTTGACTGTTTCCGCGTCAGCTCGGTTGGTTTTCTGTGACTCTTCCAGGGAGAGAGGACAGAGAGGACACTGATGCCGCGGTCGTGCCGAAGGTGGACACGCCCAGACTGTCCAGCTTTCTCCGGGCAGCCTGCCAGGTACGTGCCGAGATGTGACCAGCACATGTGTCACCAGCAGTGCTGGCCGTGTATTTGGATTCTGTGCCTCAACATTCATTGCTTACATTCTAACATAAACAGAAGTTAAAACAGATGTGTTCAGTTGGCAAGGCAAACATAGTCCAGGTGTTTGAAACTGAGAAAGCCATGACTCTTTAAACCGATTGCGGAAATTCTCAAAATACATACGGAGACAAAGGGAACGGTATGGAGAACCCCAGTACTTCCGTGGGCATCGTTTACGGCCGACTGGTCTCCTCTAAGCCCCCTGTTCACCCGCCAGCCGCCCCGTCCGTCATTGTGCAGCGGTGCGGCCACCACACGTTCCCTCCGTGAGCGTTTCCGTGTGAGCTTCCAGCGAGAGGGGCGTTGGAAGCGTGCCTGACGTCATCGAGTGTGGCATTGGTGGCGTGACTCCGCTTTGTGCAGAGTGCGGGGTTCGGGTGCGAGCAGCGGCGGGAGCAGAGCGAGCCGACGTGCAGGTGTGGGGCGCGCCTCGTCTCTGTGTCCAGTCTGCGCCGTTCCGCGCAGCTCACGGGGCTGGGGCAGGGAGCGGGCGGGTGCCAGGCGAGGACGGGAGGACGCGGCTGCAGCAGGAAGGGAGTGAGGACAGCGCACCCTGGCCTCCCAGGTCCCCTGTCTCCTACCGCGGACCCCACGCCCGTCCTGTGCTGCAGTGGACCTTCCTTCCGAGTTTGCGGAGTCACCTCCACCCGTTGCCACCCTAAGCACGACCTGTCACAGCACTGACCGTGACCGACTGCTCACTCGGGGTCCTTACTGCCGCCCGGCAAGGAGGACGGTAGTGGCGTGTCACGCGTCCCTATGCGTCGTGTTAGTCAGGACAGGTGGATGGTCAGGCCTTCACCACGAACGGTGACGTGCAGTGCTAAACTCGGGCTCTCCCGAGGGCTCCTGTCAGCAGGGTGACCCGTCAGTCCCTCTGCCGCGCAGGCAGAGCTGTGGCTTCCTCTGTTTTGTGATGTCCCGGGGTGGGCAGTTATCTTAAGTCATGGAGGAAATGAACAAGCAGCGACGTGTCTCTGTTTTTCCTTGTAAACATGAACGCCTTGCTCTCTGTCTCTGAAAGGTGGTTGCCGTTTTGCTTGAGGAGGACCATGTGGCGGCACCCAGTTGGAGCCCCGGGGCCCCGGGCAGCAGCCTGCACTTCTGCGACAGCGCCACTCAGCTCAACACCAGCCTGCCGTTCCTGCAGCGTAAGCGGCGTGCTCGCCTGCGCGCGCCTTAGAGCCCGTGCGGGACGCCCGCGTGGAAACCGTGGTCTTTGCTCCTCTGGGGACATGGGGGTGCAGCGGATGTGAGCAGAGCTCGGCAGGAGTCAGCCTTTGTTACATGTGACAGTGAACTGTGTGTGACAAGAGCTTGGTGGTGGTTTGAGCAGGGATTTGCAGGGTGTGAACGGGTGAAGGTCTTTGAGTGAGTGGACACTGAGATGCCACGTGTTTGTTGTAGATCTCGCTGCTTTCCTGTTGGTTATTTGGCCTCTTTGGCTTTATGGGAGCAGCGTGAGTGTGTGCAGAGTCGCCGCATCACCGCCTTAGCTGCAGGTTTGAGTAGCGAACTCGACATTGCATGTGGATCTTCCTGCTTGGATTTCAAGTTCATCCCTGGTCCACAGCAGAGGAAGCCCGTGTCACCAAACGTGAAGTGCAGTTGCATGCCCAGTGTGTCTGCTCAGCCCAGTTCCGGTTTCTTAAGCTGGTCAGCGCTTGGCTTTAGAAGAGGCAGCTGGCGAGGTGGGGGCAGCCTGGCCCCGTCCGTGAGAAGGAGGGGTTGCGGCGAGCCCAGCATCGGCTTCACCTGCTGCTCCTGGGCCCGTGCGAACCAGGGCATTGGTGCCCTTTGTTCTAGAGATGTCTTCCTTGTTTGGAGATGGAGATTCATGGATGTTCTTCTGCATTTAACATTAATGCAAATGGCATTGTTAAAAAGAAAACCCATGTGTTTTTGGGTGTGTTTTAGTTTTTAAGAGTTGTCCTGTTAGAAAAACAGGAAGGACCTGTATCTGTAGCATAGGAAATGCGGCATGCACGCGCCGCAGCCTCCCACACCCTCCCTCCCGAGCTGCTGCGTGAGGCGCCTGGCGGGCCGGAGGCACTGGTCAGGTGACGTGCACCGCTGGAGCCCGGAGCCCTCCGTCAGAGACAGGTGCACCTGGCGCTCTCACAGGACGGGCCCGTTGTGTGGGGGCATGAGACCCTCACGCGGACAGAAGAACATTGTCTTCGGCCGTTTGTGTGGACTGGGCCCGAGTGGGGACGACAGGGGCCACAGCGCATGCCGCCCCTGCCCGGCCCTTCCACGGCGCCCTCGGTGCCGTCAGCGCCAATGCACAGGTGTGGCCTAGCGACCGCCCACGCCGGCCTCGCTCAGCGAGTGCCCAGCGGCCCAGGTGCGGCCCAGATGGAGCAGGACGGACAGACCCGCCACCCTCCTGCTGGGCTGGGCAGACCAGACCAGCTCAGTGAGTGAAGGGCGCGTTCTGAGGAGAAACGTGCAGGGGCCGGGAAGTTGCTGTCAGGGCAGGTGGTCCCCGTCCCTGACGGAGGCCTTGCTGCCTGAGTCCCCGCTGCAGTCATGGCGGGAAGTCGGCCTTGTAGGAGCGGCCCGTGAGCGGGGCGCGTGTTCAGACTGCTGGTGCTGGGCCGGCAGGCGGGCCCTGGAGCAGGGCCACGGGCCGACCTGGCGGTTCCCCAGCAGAGCGGCCGCGCACATCCGGCGCCGGTTCCAGGCACGGCAGCATGGGAAAGACGGCTGCGTCTCCGTGGAGCTGGCCTGCGAGTGTTCTCACGGTGTGGGCTTAACGCGCATGGGTTCTGGCAGATGCCAAAGCGCACAACTGTTTTCCTTGTTTCATCTCCAGATCGGAAAGTGTCCTGCCTGCATGCCTCTCGGGTCCAGGGGCAGACAGTGGTGTCTGTGCACGGCCTGCCCGGGACGGCGCCCGCCTCCCTGCTGGACAGCAGATATGTGCTCTGCGTGTGGGACATCTGGCAGCCCTCGGGGCCTCAGAAGATCCTGGTCTGTGAATCGGAGGTACAGCTCGGGGGAGTCGTGGGGTCAGGGAGAGGAAGGGCTGGTGGTATGGGCCGTGGTGTTGGCGGACAGGGATGCAGGAGGACAGGGGCCTGCAGGAAACAAAATTTCTGCGCGTGCAGGTGTGGGGAGCCCGGGCACCACAGCCGTTTGGGTCCACTGGGAACTGGGCGTCAGCATGGCTCCAGCCTAATAAAAACAGTGCCCCGGCAGGGTTCTGGGCCCCCAGAAGCACACACTTCCTCGCACCGTGTGGGTCGTGGGTTTCTTAGAGGTTTCTTTACGTGCTTGAGGTTGTCACTCTGTGGCTTCACGCGCTTCCCACCCCTGGCTGACAGGCCGTTGTCTGGTGACCAGCAGGTCAGTGGCAGAGCCAACCTCTAACGTGTGCTTCCTTTCGCTTTGGGAATACACGATCGTATTTTCCTGTTTACGTTCTCCCTGACCTCGGAATCACTGATTTCCACCAAAACCGTGGAGAAGAATAAACGGGTGTCAGTTTTGGGGGCTTGAAAATAACTTTTTGCGACCTGGGTTGTAAATGGGATGACGGGGAGGGGTGTCGGTGTGCACACCGTGTACCCCGCACCACGCTTTCCGTGGGAGGTCGCCGACGCGCAGACACGGTCCACCCACCATGTCACGGCATCTGGGCGGAAGGCTGGTGGGGATGCTGAGGGAATGGAGAGCTTTCTGTGTGCCCCCAGGTCACATGTTGCTGCCTGAGCCCCTTCAAGGCCTTCCTGCTATTTGCGGGGACCGCGCACGGCTCGGTTGTCGTGTGGGATCTGAGGGAGGACTCCCGGCTCCATCGCTACCTGAGGCTCAGCGACTGCTGCTGGACGTTCAGGATGGCGACCTTCTCCACCGGTCAGTGACAGATCTGAGGAACGTCTGGAGTTTGGCATTTATTGTTTGGGTAACCTCAGAGGGTAGGGTCTGACCTGAGCAAAAGATGCCTTTGACTAATAGGACAACAGAAACCCATCCAGGTGACATTTAGCCAGTGGCCAGCAGATGGCAGTGTTCTTCCTTGTTAAATTTGTAGATTCTGAATCTTCAGTGAAATGACGTTTGGTTTAAATTAGCTTGAAGTGCGCTGGCATGTGGGCTCCCATGTCTCAGTTCACTCCAGCGGGGCCGAAGGGACCAGACTAGCTGGACTTGCTGGGACCCCCAATGAGACCCCCTGAATACTGCATGCCACAACCACACAGCCACATAGCCACAACCACCCACAACCACACAGCCACAGCCAACCACAGCCCCACAGCCACAACGAAACAGCCACAACCACAGCACACCAGCAGCCACCCGACCACTGGGGGGACTTGTGTCCTGGGGCTTTCTTTCTGAGTGCTTCGTAGATGTCATCTGTTTAATGCCTGCCTCACCCTCCTCCCCCTGCTTGGGGAGATGAGGGGCTGGCCATGGTCACACTGACCTCGCCGCCTGTCTTCACTGTCTTCCTGTCTGTTCCCGCCCGGGAGCCCCACCCCACCCCCCACCCCCATGCCCCGCTGTCACGGGTTGGTTTTCCGTCTCTGGTTTTGCTTTTTCCAGTTGTCAGATAAATGGGACCATATGGAACGTGGCCTTCAGTCAGCGTAGCGTTTGCAGTTCACTGTGCAGTCGCGTGCCCGCAGTTCATCCTCCTCTGCTGAGCAGTATGTCCATTCCAGAAAAATCCGGGGCGGTTGTCTAGCCACCAGCTGGTGGACATTTGTTAGTTCCAGTTGTTGGACTGCGAATAGCAGGCCCATCGCACCGTTTTGCCTTCTCTTCGGTGGCAGGCAGCCCGTCAGCCATTCTCCGTCCTGACGGGCGTGTGGCCGTGTCTCAGCGCAGTTCTCGCGTGTGCCGTCCTGGTGACACGGGATGTGGAGCACCCTCTCGTGTGCTTGTTTGCCTTCTGCGCGTCTTCGGGGAGGTGTCTGCTCAGATCTTTCACACAGCACTGAGTTGATTCGCTGCTTTCTTACTGTGGAGTGTCAGATGTCTTCGTTTTGGACGATGGTCCTGGACTAGATGTGTCTTTACAAGTGTCTCCTCCCAGCCTGGGGCTTGTCTCCGCGCTCCCTCCCACTCTGCTCCCCTAATCACTGCCCGTGAGATTTCAGTGCTACGCGGACGTCGCACATCTGTTAACACGCTGTGTGTGTGTCTGTGTCTCATACGTAAAAAGAGCACGTGGGTTTCGTCCCCCGATGACCAGCGTTTCCCCTTCGAGGGAGTCACTGCTGCTGTCGAGAACATTTGCATCTGTAGGTGCCTCGTGGGGTTGATGCTGGTAGGAAAGATCTTTTAGAAACATTTTCTAACTGCTGCTCCTGTTACAATAAACGCAAATACGTTCGTCTCTTAAAATACTCCCTTCGTTTTCTTTTGCCATCTAAACGTCGTCCCTAAAGTGAAGTTCCAGTGGGCCGCTGGGAGTGAGGGGCCGAGGGACCCGCGATACAGACCCCGGGTCTGCAGAAGCCGGTCACAGCGTGGCGCTGTCCTTCAGGCACAGCGAGTCCACGCCTGCCATCGAGTCGGCCTTCTGGGGACAGTATGTCTTTTTTTCAGATTCTTTCCTGAGTTCAAACCAACTCTAATTTTACTTCTTGCTTTTTTTAAAAAAAAAAAAGTCTATTTCTGTCCTGGGTCTTCAGTTCCGCGTGTTCCTGTGCTTTCTGAGGAGACGCAGGGTGGCTGAGTGTGGGATGCTGATCTCGTGTCCCACCCTGTTTTAGGGAGAACGTCCATCGGCTGAAATACTTTCGCTTGTTTTTCATTTTCTTCTCACGGGGGCTGGGTGGGGGCCCTGCTGGTTTCTCCCCTGGACGTTCTGTGTTCGGTGCTGTAGGTGCGAGTAGCTTGTCACCGCTTCGTGGCGTGTCCTGTCCCTGGCGGGCGGCGGGGCTGCTGAGTCGGACTGCGCTCTGCGCCCCTGCACCACTGTCTGAGCCTCCCCACTGTGGGAGCAGCATCTCCTCCGTCCTGCGTCACCTCCCAGCGCAGGCCGCCCTGCCATCGCCGAGGGCCCCCAGCCCTGCCCTGGGAGTTAGACTCTCCCTCCGGTCCCCACTCTCTGAGACTCCCTCCCGCCCTCTGCGCTGGCCGGCCGGGGCTCCCGTCTCCCTCGTCACAGGCGTTTTGGGCTCTGTGGTCTCTGCTTCATGGCAAGGCTGACAGTGACAGTCATGTACGACTTCGTCTGTGGTCTGCGTTGGCCGTGTGGTGCCTGGGGACCCATGTCCCAGAAGCAGCCTGTGTGTGCCCTCGCACACGCTGCTCGCACTTCTGTGACTCGCTGCTTACACGCAGGACTGTGTGCCCTCTACCGCAGATGGCGTCCTTACCCCGGTGAACCACCGCAGCCCTCTGCAGGCGGTGGA